TGGGAAGAAATAGCAGGTGTCACATCTCCCCAGCAAGGAGGACAAAACCAAGAGGTGATGTAGGGGGCCAAGCAGGGACCTCAAATGGTGTCTCCTGCCAGGACCCTCATCTGGGATCACCTGGCTGTAATGACAGATCTCGGAGCTGTAGTCAGGAGTCAGGGGGAGGTGGTGTGGTCATCAGCTGGTGCTGAAAGCTCCTCTTGCCTTTGTTTAACCTAAGAGTGGCCCCTTCCAGTGCCTAGGGGTGCTTGGTCCCTGGCTGGGGTTTGGAGGACTTAACGGGAGTCTTCTTCCAGGGCGTGGAGACCGTGAGGACCCCAGGCCCCGGCTCTGTGGGGCATAACTGTGACAAGACAGCTTCTCGGCCCACTGTCTGGCAGCTACTGGACCCTGGTGGCAGATTCCCTCCCCCTCAGGGAGCCAAGCCCTTAAGCTGTGTGTGGAGCTGGAGGCTGGGTGGTGTGCTGTGCCCTTTAGTGTGCCAAGGGGGGACACTTGGCTTGTGGGCAGTTGGCTCACCGGGCATCTGTTAGTGTGGCAGCATCACAGGACCAGGTATTAGAAAACTCAGGTTCTTGCCAAGGGATTTGCTGGGTTACGTGGTCAGGTCACCTCGCCTGACTTTGCCTCTGTTTCTTCTCCTTCTCCCTCAGTTTTGTCATCTTGAAATGTGGGTGGTTGAGATTACATGTGGCATTCAGTGCTGGCTTCGCCAGAGCAGCCTGGTATTCCAAGGCCTGTAGGCAGGCCTGGCCCTGCGTTCTGCAAAGTCCCCTCCCCCAACTCCCTTTTGGACCTCGGGTCCAGAATCCAGAATGCCCACTAGGGCCTCCCTCTCTGGTGACTCAGCTCTTGGAGCACAGGAAAAAGTCAGAGCAAAGAACGTGAAGATGAACTCAACAGCAGGGTCCTCAAAATAGCTCCCCGGACAGCTTGGGATAGGGGGCAGCACTAATTTTATCTGCTTGCGTTTCCTCAATTCACAGTGACAGCAAAGTGCCCTTCCCAGATACAACCAGATCATTCACTATGGTTTTGGAGTCGGGGTAGAGCAGCTCTCTGCCTGCCAGGCCCCGAGGATGCTGTGCGTGAGCAGAGATGCTTGTGTTAGAGCTCTGTGGAGGGCTCAGGCCCTGCCCTGGGGAGCCCGGCATTGTTACCCGGAGAATCTCTCCAGTTTTCTGTTCTGCAGAGTCCCGCTCTTCCCACTCTGGGAAGAGTGTCTGGCCTGGACTCTTCACTGAGTGATGGGCAGGCATTGCTCTCCCCATTTTACAGGTGAAAGGGTGAGATCCAGAGTTTACCTCATTCTTCTTGGCTCACACGCTGAGTCAGAGGCAGGGTTCGGTGTAGAAATGCTTCCCTATCCTCTTCCTGTACTGTCCCAAGATGGGTCACCCCAGGGACTTGCTCTCCATCCTTCTTCTGTCCCCCCGTCTTCTTTCCCCTTTCTCCCATCCTCTGGAGCTCTCCTGTCCACACAGTAGCCACCAGCCACATGTGGCTACTGAGCCCTTGAAACGTGGCTGGTCGAGATGGGCTGGAAGTGTAAGATGAACCCTGGAGTTTGAAGATTTGGTACAGAAAAAAGAATGTAAGCTATCTCATTAATAATATTTTGTATGGGCTACATGTTGAAGTGATCATGTTTTAGAGATACTGGGTTAAATAAAATATACTATTAAAATTTATTTTTAATGTACTTCCATGAAAATTTAAAAATTACAGATGTGACTCATGTTATCTTAGAAAGCGCTGCTCCGAGTCTTGCTACTCAAAGTGTGGACCCTGGACCAGCAACACTGACATCCCCCGGGCTAGGCACTGTGCCCACTAGTGCCCCAGGGGGAGCACGGAGGGTGCTGCCAGGAAGGAGGCGCTGAGGGCCAGCAGCTCGTAGACATGCTGATGACTGTGGCCCTCTTCACTCTAGTCAGGATCTGCTGCCAGGACTCATGTCTGCTCCCCCTGGGCCTGGGTTTAGTGGACAGAATAAGGGTTTAAAGTGAGGTTCCCCCCTGCCAAGAATCTGATTCTGAAGAAGTGATTCTGGTCACCTGAGTCTATTTCTCCTTTGCGATTCTGTAAAATCTGATGGCGACTCTAGCCTTCTGGGCTGTGTTCCAGCGATGGAAGAGAAGGGTGTGTGCAGTCCTTCAGGCTGGTGTGATGGGATTTTCAAGCAAGAGAGCCCCTGCCTTGGGAGGTGGCAGCTGGCCTGACGTGCAGTTCTGGGGCAGGGGGCAGATCTGAGGGGGGCAGGTGACTGGTGCAGGGGTGGAGGGGGTGTGTGGCCGGAGAGGGCCTGGGGGTAAAGCACCGGTTGTGGGGACCCAGGGCAGAGGGACTGCCCTGGGGACACCCCCACCCTGCCCTCAGAGGTGCCTGCCAGGGGTTAGGCCTCTGCAGGGCTGTGGACCCAGTCTGGGTCCAGGTGGGTGCTGGCCAATCTGCCAGCCACAGTCTGACAACTGGACCAGGCACCCAGCTGACAGGGAGGGGGTTCTGTGTGCTCATGGCTGTCTGGCCGGACATCAGAGACAGAGCTTAACCTGAGGGGGGGAAAATCTGTGTTCTCTAAAAGCCTTGTTCTTAGGTGTTTGCATTTTCCTTATGGGTTCTTTTTTCCCCTGAGCTTCCTAGAAGGGTTTCTTTTGAAAAATTTTAAAACTTCACATTGAGAAATTTACCCCAACAGCTTTCAGGTGGAGGAAAAGGATTTGCTTCCACCTGGGCTGGGATAATGGGGTAGGGGTCAGGGCAGGGGAAGAACAGGCAGGCCTGGAGTTCCCTCCCCCAGGGAGGGTAGCAGGATGGGAATCAAAGGAGGCATTTACTCTCCCACCACCCCTTTCCTCTCTTCAAATCCTGCTCAGTCTTCCGGGCCAGCTCCAGTGACCCTTCTTCCAGGAAGCCTTACTGACCACTGTCTCTTGCACCTGTCTCTGCTAGGTGCTTCCCTAGGTGACTTACATAGATTCTGTCTTTAATCCCCACAATAGCTGAGAGTGATGTGATTATTATTATCCCCATTTCCAGATGAGGAGACTAAGGCTCAGAGAAGTTAAATGGCTTATTTGAGAGTATGTTGTTGGCGAGTAGTCGAACTGAGATTCTGAATCAGGACTTCCACTACATACAGCAAGTACTTAATGGTTTATGGCTGCAGTTGGACTGGCTGTTGATTTCAGAGCTCAGTCAACTAGCCTGAAGGGAGCTACTTAGGCTTGTGGTCACACCCAGGGGTGTGGTGGGTGGTAGGAAGGTGGGGCCTTGAGAGAACAGACCTGCTCCTTGCTGGACGGGAGACTGGTAGTGACACAGAGGCCAGGGTTAGGGTATGGGATGGGCCACAGAAACGCTGGCCCTGGGTGTCGTGCCCACTGAAACAAACAGCCCAGTTTGAATTTGGGGCCTCTATCTGGTGGGGGATTGGAGGGTGTCACCTACCCAGGCGTCCCCACATCCGGTGGCCTTGGCCACTGACAGCCCCTGGGCCCAGTATTGGCTGGCCAGCGAACCCCAGTGTCAATCCACATTCTTCTCTTTGCTCACCCTTCTCACTGATCATCTCTCTAAGATGAGCATATAAATAGGAAGAGAAATACAGTGTGGGACTCAAGCCTGTTTCCTCAGCTCCGACATAAATAATTCAGCCCCTTCCTTATGTGTCTACACTGTGCTTGACCGCAGTGACTCCTGGATGTCCAGAACCGGGGCAAGGAAGTAACCCAGTGGGCAACTGGTAACTTGGTAACTGGGGGAGGGTGGGAGAAAGAGGAGGGCAAGGTGAAAGAAGTGCTGAGGAAAGGCCTCCGTTTGATTGGGTGTAAATTATTACCACTCAGTCAAGAGTCAACTTCTGGAAGTATCTGTTCCATGTTGTGCTTGCTGGTGAAGGGGCTGCTCCTTTGTTCTTCCATCCCTCCCTTGCATACACGTGTGTACACACACACACACACACACACACACACACACACACCAGTGCCCGAGCTTGCCGTTTTCTGACCTGCTTCTTCACATGTCCAGGCGTGGTGGCTTGGTCAGGGCAAGAGCCAGCAGAGCCTCCAGGGTGTGGTGGGGAAAGGTGTGGAGTTGGACCCACTGCCTGTACACAAAGATAGGCAGATGGTTGGTTTTAACACAGAATTCTCAGATGGCGCCCACGATTGCCACCCCTGGTGCACGTGCCCTGCATAACCATCTCCTTGGGTATAAGTGGGACTGTAAGTACGATGGGTTAGCACTCCAGTGATGAGAGCTTCTCCTACTGGCTTTGAAGGACTAAGCTGCCGCATGGTGGAGGGGGTCGGGTGGCCAGGACCTGAGGGCAGCCGCGAGGGGCTGAGGGTGACCCCTAGCTGATGGCCAGCAAGAGACGGGGACCTCTCTACAAGTCCTACAAGTGCAAGGAACTGGATTCCGCCAACAACCTGAATGAGCTTGGAAATGGATTCTTCCCCAGTCAAGCCTCCAGCTGACAGTGCAGTCGGCTGGCACCTTGATTTCCGCTTTGTGAGGCCCTGAGCAGAGAATCCATTTGAGCTGTGTCTGGACCGCTGACCTACAGAACTCTGGGGGTAATGAATGGGTGTTGTTCTAAGCTGCTAAGTTTGTGGAATGTGTTCCGCAGCAGTAGGACACTAATACAGTGGGGGACACCTCTGTCTGCATTTTGGGGGGTGTCTGGGCCCTTGGCAGTCAGGGCCTGCAGGGGCAGTGGTTGGGTGTGGCTTGCACCGTGGCCATGGTGGCTGGGTTTCCGGCGGCCAGTTCTAGACCCCTGGGCCTCATGGCTCACCTCCCCTATAGCCCCCAGTCACATGACGGCCCACTTTATGGCCTCGCGCAGACACATTTTATTGTCGAATTAGTAGGAATAACAGCGGCGTTTTAGTGGCTGATTGGGACCTGTATATTAGTGATTGTATTAATAAATGCACCGTGACAGGAGACCGGTGAGAGTGAGAAAACGAGACATGGTATTTATCCCCTGTGCAAAATCTTTTTTATTATTAAAGGCGTTGGGTTAACTGAGGATAGATTTAATGCTGGTGGTAATTTTCTGGGCTCAGCAGCAGCTCAGGGTCCCCACTGCAGCCTGAGCTCTGGAACCCTCATCCAGGGCCATTGGATTCCTTGGAGAAGCTGCAGGGCTGGGGAGCTGCAGTCGTGAGCACTTTCTTGGGACTTGACCTGGGCCTGCAGTTCCCTGTGGGCAGATGCTGGGCGTGATGCGAGACAGGGCGAGATCCTCGTCCATTTAGAGATGAGCAAGGCAGTCAGTGCAGGTTCAGAGGCATCTGAAGAGAGAGATTGCAGGGAGAACATCAGAAATGGTGCAGGCCCACCCCTGCCTCTCGGGAGCCTCCCAGCAGGGGGCTGCACAGCTGGAGAGTCTTGTGTTTTGGGGGCAGCCGGCCGGTGCCCCTCACCCTGTGCTCTGTCCCGTCTAGTGCTAGCTGAGTCTGCTGTGTGGTCCAGCCTTGGAGAGGGGTGGGTGTGCCTGGCACTGGCTGGAGGGGTCCCACTGCTAAGGGCCCCTTGGGGGCAGAGCTTGGGGCTGTGGCCGCCTTGGTGCTCTGTGCTGTGGACCATGCATTCTGGCAGGGAGACTACTGAAGACCCTTGCAAGCTCTTAGGCCTCTGAACATTTTAGAGGAGGGCTACAGGTTAGACTATGAGACAGGAGAGGAAGGCATGGAATCCAGAGATGCTGGCAGACGACGGTCCCAGCCTGGCCTCCTTCCTTCCCATGGACTTGTAGGCCACCTCAAGCCTGCTTTCTTTTAGCTTCAGTCCAGCTCCCTTCACCACTTCTCTGTGGTTCTCCTCCGAAAGGTCAGCCCCTCTTCCCTATTGGTTTCTCAAGGACCCTCATCTGACCCTCTCTTTGCACCTTCTACCTCCCCCACCAGCAGACGCTGGGGAGCAGAAGATGTGTGATGGCAGGTGAGGGCTTCACGTAGCATAGGTGACAGGGAGCATGGCATAAGAGAAAGAACTTGGGCCTTGAGACACAGCTGACCTGGGTTTATGCCCTGGCCCTGCTCTGTGCTGGCTGGGTGACATCAGTCCTGGGCGCAGTGCTTACCCACTGAGCCTTGCTGAACTCAGCTGCCAAAGATGAACACCTTCTCCACGTCACAATGGGATGGTTGTAAGGACTGAAAGAGCATGAACATCTGTAAAGGGCTTTGTATACTATCTGACACATAGTACATGCTCAGTATAGAGCATGTTATTATTTCTAGAAGAACTCAGACTCTTGCATTCTCAGAGGAACCTCCTGGCTGATAGCGAGGTTAATTTGCTCACTCGTTTGTTCTTTCCACAAGTGTTTGGTGCTGGGTGTTGGTGATACTGTACGACGCGAATAGATGGTCAGTGAATGTTTACTGAGTGGATGACTACAGAGATTCTAGACAAAATTCTTTCTCTTGGGGGAGTTTGCCTGGGAAGGGGTCATGTCGGTGAGTGGTTATTTTCTGGTTTTCCTCAGGCCATTTGATCTTACTTTGGTGCCGAGTGCCAAGGAGGAAGCCTAGAAAGTGTCTCCATCCCTGTGGGCCAGAGACACTGCCTCTTTCTTCTGTAGCTCGACATTTTTTTCATATGGGATCTCAGGGAGAGGTGACCTTGATTTTATCCTGCTTGGCAAAGACAGTACAGACCTCCTTGGCCTGGGGGCAGGGGTTGGTGGAAACTTCTGGACACAGTCAGCATTTCTTAGCCTCCTGTGGGTGCTGGGAGGTCTCCATTCCCCCTGCCCCACAACCATGCAATTCCTCTGCCTCTGTCCAGCCCAGAACAGACACAAACCTGCCCTGCAAGTGCCCAGTTGAGAGATGAGGGAGGAGCGATCGTTCTGGGAAATCTTCATGTGCTGCTCTGGAGAGCTTGAGCTGGGTTCCTTGGGGTGGGAAGGTGGGGAGGGATTCCTTTCAGTAAGGTTGAAAGGAAATGATACGTTTTCTTACAGTGGGGTTCTTTTTGGAGTGTAGGTCCTTGCCTCCAGACTATGCTGCCCAGTGTCAAATCCTGTGTAGAGTGCTGGCCTGGCAGGGTTATGGCTTGAATAGCCAGCCTTGGAAGTGGTCGAAAACAAACGCTGGCCCTAAAGCTGAAGAGAGCAGATTGAAATTGAGTGACAGTCGTTTGCTGAGCCTGGGGGCGTGTGGAGGGTCCAGGAGCTGGCAGCCTTTGGGGCCACTGAACCTTCACTTCCAGAGGCTGATTGTGCAGAGACCAGCAAGTGTCCTGGACCCTGTGGTGGTGTAGCTGTTCTAGGGCTGGGGACTGGAAAATCTGTGGGATTGTTTACTGCCTCCATTTTTTATTATCAGCAAAACTTTAATTACAGCTCTCGCTAAACCTACTACCTTCTGCCGGCATTTACAAGGCAATAAATTTCCCCTTCTCTCCTTACACAATCTGAACCTCCAGTAGGGCCATGCATATGCACTGGAAGATATCGATTCCCCAAAGAAATTATAACAGCATTTGTTCTCAAGTAAACACACATAGAGGCTATTATAGCACTGAGGAAGAGTTGATTGTCTTTGCTCTATTAAACAACACGGCTCTCAATGGGAAGCATATCTAAATTATCAGGAGATTGGTAGAACAGACAGGCAATGATGCCTGGAATAAGACTTTGAGTGGGAGGACCCTAATGCAGAGATTAGAAGGAAGGCTTTGTCCCTTTCTCCTTGTTTCTCACTCCTTCATCAAGCCAAATCGCTCCCCACCCCTCACCCCTGCAGTCCTTTCGCGTTGAAGGGGCATTGATCGTGGCTCTCAGCTAGCGAGTGGAGAGCGCACTGCAAGCTGGCAGCAGTGAAGCTTGCACAAGGTCAACTGGCTAATGGCCCCATGTGTATTGGCAGACTGTAAACACAAGCCTTTTAAAAACTTCTTGTTGTGTTACTGGCAGGTAGAAAAGGTTGATGCATTCATCAGCCTAATTTGGAAAATGGTACACAGCCCATCTTAGCTTTGGAACACCCAGAAATGCACCCCACTGAGCAAAAGAGTGATCAGCCATGACCTCGCTCCCACCAGCGAATTTGAGACAGAATATTTTATTATGAACAACTTGGTTCTACAGTCCCACAAGAGCAGAGATGGAATCAAAAGTCTGAGGATGTTCTGTGCAATGTTGATGTATTCTACACAGCGCTCATGGGGTGTTAATTGGTATCCTGTTAATAAAAGGATAACTTCCCCCAAACCTACTTAACATGATTAAATAAACTCATGAGACCTGGGGGTGAGGCAAAGTTAAGCAGATTTCTTCACTGCAGGACTTTTCAGAGGCTCTATGTTAATATGCATTATGAATCTGGAAGAGGGTGAAATATGTGAATTCCCTGAATTTTATTTATTCATTTATATATTTTTTGCGGTACGCGGGCCTCTCACTGTTGTGGCCTCTCCCGTTGCGGAGCACAGGCTCCGGACACGCAGGCTCAACGGCCATGGCTCACGGGCCCAGCCGCTCTGAGGCATGTGGGATCTTCCCAGACCGGGGCACGAACCTGTGTCTCCTGCATCGGCAGGCGGACTCTCAACCACTGCACCACCAGGGAAGCCCCCTGAATTTTTTTAAAAACAAAATTCACATCTTGTAGGACCAGAGTTTTTATAGAACAGTCTTTGAGAATAAAGCGAAAGTAGAATAGACCGTGAGAAGTGGTCTGGATTTTCTTTGCTGTGTTAGGCTTGGAGAAAGCCTTAGGAGTGAGTCTGAGTGCGTAGTAGGAGAGGAGAGTCAGGCTCTGATGGTCAGAGTAGCCAAAACTTTTCCAAAATGGTACCTGAGCTCTCGGCCTCTGGGAAGATTTGCCCAATGTTGATGTGATAAGTGCTGCCTACCTGGAAGGTGAGTTCATCTGAGCTAAGAGAAGAGCTCCAAAACAGAGGTGTCCTTCACTCAAACATAAATATGGCAGTCTTACCTCAATTAAAGAAAACTCTAAGTTAATGGAGAAGGGAATTTCTATGCTTGGAAGTGACACTCTAGCTTATTTTAGGCTAAACTACTATCAAGAACAACTAGACAAGTTGTGGCTGATTGTATTTTCCAGATGGCTGCATCAATGTCTATTCCATACCACACGTCCATTTGTGTCATGTCATCTTATAACACATTATTGACATTCCTGCACTGAGAGGTAGGTTTTATGTTTCTTCTCCTTGAACGTGGATGGGCTTTTGTAATAGTCCTGACCAACAGAATGTGGCAGAAGTGAAGTTGCTTGACTTCCGAGACTATGTCGTAAAAGCTTCTGCCTGCATCTCCTTTTCTCTCCTGGGATACATACCTTGGGAGCCCTGAGTCAACTTGTAAGAAGTTCAACTAACCTGAAGCCTCCAGGCTGTAATAGCAACATGGAGAGATTACACAGAGATAGTGGGGTGCCTGGGGAGCCCGATTCCCAGTGGTTTGAGTCTCAGACCAGGTACCAGATATGTGAGTAAAGAAACATTTGAGATGATCCCAGCCAAATCTACCATCTGACTGCAACCTTATGAGACACCCCAGGCCAGAATCACCCAGATGAATAGCTCCTATGTTCCTGACCCTAGTAGCTGTGAGAGATAATAAGTGATTAATATAGTTTGAAGCCACTAAGTTTTGGGGAAACTTGTTGTGTGGCCATAATAACTAGAACACAGACCCATAAAATTAATAAAACATGTTAAAAGCTTTGGAAAGCTATCAAAATAATAAAGGCTTGGCTCAAGGGACCAGAATTCTTGAAAGAAGGGAAACCCCAAGAGGAGAGAGCCAGACATTTGGTGCCACTTTCACCCTCAAGTTAATTGTGGGCTCAAATGCAACAGCTGAGAGACTGAGCAGAAAGTGGCTGCTAAATGGCTGCGAAGTTGAGCATAGCTCTTGGCATTTTCCTGGGGCTCTGGGGGAAAACTGGGGTTTAGCTTCTGCCAAATAGAAAGAGTCCTGGTAAATACCGCAGACTTTCAGGTGCAACTCTTGACTAAGAGTAAAGTTGAACTTGAAATAGGTTAGCCCTAATAAAATCAGAATCCTGTCTTTAAATCAGCTCACCCAGTGACTAGGTTAAGGTCATGTGTCTCTACTTCATCTGCCACCAGAAATAAAAATGAATCCTCTCTTGAGCAAGGCAACATTATACGGAAACTCACATTATTCCTACAATATCTGGAATTCATTAAGAAATAGCTAGGTATACATAAGGCAAGAACTGACTGATAATCAAGGGAAAATACATAGTGTAATAGACTTAAAGGAAGTCTGGCAACTGGAATTATTAGA